CACTATAGGATGTCAAGCATCCCTGGTACTCCCATTCCTCCAGGGTGCCACAGTGCCCACAGAGGAGGACTGCTCTGGAAACTGCCAGCTAGAGTTTGACTCAGGATCCCACCATCTACTATGTCTGATCTCATCAGAGCAGTTAACTTCAGCTTCTTCATCTGTAAAAATGGGAATAAATAACCACCTTGCCCTGTGACTCTGAAGATCCAATGAGTTAAAGAGGCTAATGAGGCATGCCTGAGTAGCTCAGTCAGTTAAGCGTTGGCCCAGGTCATGATCTCAGCATCCTGGGATGGAGCCCCACATCAGGCTCTGTGCTCAGTAGGAAGTCTGCTTGTCCCACTCTCTCTCCCTCTGCCCCTCCCCGTTCATGCTTGCTGACTCATGCACATGCCTGTGTGCTCTCTCTCTCAAATAAACAAAATCTTAGAAAGAAAGAAAGAAAGAAAGAAAGAAAGAAAGAAAGAAAGAAAGAGAGGCTGATGACCCAGACTTACCCTCACTAGCTTCTTCTGGTATTAGAATCACTTAGGAATTACTGCCCAGTCTTAGTCTATTCTACATGGTCATATCCTGACTTGAACTGCCTTGGAACTCCTTGCTGGGGCCTCCTCACACAGTGAAGCTTCACTGGATACATTCTGTGGAGATGCAACAGCTTCACTGGTTATTACATGTTTTAAAATAGTTATGCCATGCAAACCAGTAGGGTATGCCTTCTACAGTTGCAAAGATCCAGACAACTCTGAGCATAGTCTCTATGAGTTCTGCTGGCTACTCTCATCCCCCCTGGAAAATACAGCAGTGGCCATGGGCAAAGCTCTATGTTTATCAACTTGGCTTCCAATTTCTTTGTATCTTTTCCTCCCAGTGATGGCCCCTCTCCAATATCCAAGGATATACCATCCATTTCACCATGCTCACACTAACACTGCCCAAGCTCACATTAGCCCTTCATGCTCCTTTGCTTAAATGGTTTGTATCCCAAGTCTTTGAGCTGCAGAGAGTTAGCCCTGATTTGTGCCATAAGGCCGGCGTTTAAGTCTTTCTCCTGGCCTTCACATACACCTAGCACCTAGTAGCACCTAAAAGCACCTAACACAGAGCCTGGTACTTAGTAGGTTTTCAATGATTGATGAATGCCAGAGTCAATCAATGCATGAATGAATGCACTGCTGAATGAACACAGGAATGAATACCTTCAGGAAGAGTCAGGAGACCTGGTGTCCATTTAACCCTTCCTTAGTTCTGCAGGAACTCAGAGTAAGCCACTTAATCTCTGTGCCCAAATTTCCTTCTCTGTGATTTTAGGTGGTTGGACGTTGCAAGAAAACCGCTTTAGGTTTTCCTCCAGCTCAACTGAGCCCAGAAACTTTAACAAAGAGTGAAAGATTGTATTTCTTTTTTTGAGACATTTTAGTCAAAGCAAGCACAGGGGTAAAGATTTTTCTAAAATCACATACCAGGGGTCCCTCCCTGCCACAGAGTCCCTTGTTCCCTGGGGACAAAAGGCTCTAGACAGCATGCGAGCCGTAGATACTGAAGACATCTCTGAGATGCTGAGCACTACAGAGCTTGTTATCATGGGCTTCTTGCGGGAACTGAACGTCTACCCCGTCCTCAAATGAGGTCCACAGGGACATCAGCTGCCTGCCCTCTTCTACCCAAAACTCCTCCCTTTCCAGCCTCAACAAGGTGGGCCCTGCACTCTCTCCCAGGCTCCAAATCTAACTCAATTCCTCTCCCTGCCATCTGCCTAAGGCTCCCACATGCATATTTTATGATTTCTGGCACATTTCCTCCGTATCTGACATCCTGCAATGTATCCCTCTGCCCCTATATTATTTCTATCTCTGGTAATGTGTTCTGAAAGAGGCAAGTGTCCTTGGCCTGCACTTTATTACTGATGGTTTTAGCTTTCCTATCTTATCTCCCCACCCGGTCCCCACCTAAATTTCTTGAGGGCAGAGACCACATCCTCTATTCTTCTCCAGTTCCCCACAAGAACAAGGACAGAGGTGGGCAAGCTGCAGACCCTTAGAAAATACTTGTTGAATGAATAAAAGAATGAATGAATGAAATAACTGATGGATTTCAATGTTTTTAAATTTAAAAGCCATAATAATATACTTCCTGGATAAAGTTACCAGGACACCCCCTTCCGGGTATACAACCAGAATGAATTAAATTTTAAAATGGCACCTTTGGAATATACTATTTTCTAAGGACTGAAATAAACATCCTTCACTACAATATGAATGAGAGCAACATTATCAGCTGCATAAGAAATCTGCTTTTTAGGTATCCATAGCATAATAATGCGGCATGTCTTTTATTTCCTAGTAAAAGCAGATTTTACCTGGGGCTGGGGCGGATAAAAGGGCAACCATCCATCCCTTGGTGTTAATTATCCCAAATATCACTGTTATGTGTTAAAGCTGGAGAATTCAGGGAAGTCAGACAAGATATGAGGATTTTCTCTAGATTGTTTAAATCTACTGCTGACTGGGGCAGAACACCTTTTTGGAAATACCGGGGACTGACTTAGCAAAGTCAATTTCTAGTTACATACTTCCTTGTGGGTTAAAAAAATCCAGCTAGAACCAAACCGATTTGGAAATCAAATTATTTGTTCTCCCATGCACTTGCTAGTCACAGTCGGTCACCAGATAAAACAGTGCCAATGGTCAACACAACACTGCTGGAGGGAAAACATTATGGCTATTCCATCAAAGCTTAATATAGTTTAATGCCATAAGCCCCATTAACCTCCCCAGGCCAACAGTTAACCTAAACAACTTCATTATCTCTTAGAAATCATTATTCTTGCATATAAGCATATACTTATCATCACCAAAAGTATCAACATTACATTATTACAGAAAAACTGTGTTTTAAGAGAATATTATAATTAGACTTACTGAGGATTGTCTGAGACCTAAAAAAGTTAGGTCCATTAAAATAGACAATTACTGTTTATGGGCTGTACATATGCGATAACAAATTATGTCTTCCAGCTCAAATCAAACCATGTCAGAACACATATTACCAGGCAGGGCAGTGAGGGAACCTGAAACATAACAGTAAAACAGGAAAGGACAAGAATAAACTCTCTTTGAGGCCAATATGTATAAATTTAAAGTAAAAAAATGCTGTTACAAGGGTTTATCCACATTTACCCAACTGATGAAATCAGAACAGGTTAAAGCTAGAATGTAATTCTGAGTTATACATCACAATCCTTCAGGACCTACACATCCTACAACCTATACATCACAACCTACAGAAGAGAAACTCAGGCAGAGATGGAGCACCTTATCCAAGCTTACACTACTAGCCAGAGCCTGAATTAAAACTTAGGTCTCTTAAGTCCAGCTTCATGTGCAAAATGCGTAACAGTGTATTTAAAAATTAAGAAAGGACACACGCAGACAAGAAATACTTGTTACTTGTTAATGGACTTGAGGAAATAGAGATACACAATTCCAGAACTATCTTGGTATATTACCTGCTGACAGGATAAGCCAAGTAATTTGACTTTGACTCGTCCAACATAACCTAGGCTTAATACTACAGATCAGCCCTACCATAATCAATAAAACGCTACTGTAACAATTACTGAAACATACAAGTTGTGGTGAAACCAAAAGCTTTGTAGCATTCTTATGAAGGAGTGCATTTGAAAAAAATCTATCCACAAAACAATATGAGTTTCCTGACACTGTAGTTCAGTAGAGAAATTTGTAAAAGACAGGTATGACTAAGCAACCACAAATAACTAGAAATAACACAAAACTATCAGGAGTATGGGGACCACCACATGCCTGCATATAAAGATAAGGTGGAGTTTCCCATCTATTGTTCCTAAAGAAAAAGGGGTCTTTTTTGTACTACAGTGTTGATTTCTTTTTAAATAAAGAGTCTCCATGGTTTATAAGGATTTACAAACAATATTTTATTCCATCCTCCACCCCACCTGCTTCAGAAACAAATGTTGGGACAATCTGGTTGTTGCTGGGCAGGCAACTGACCAGATCAAATTTAAGCAATCCATACTGCATTTTTTGATGTATTTGATTATATATCTCACCAAAGAACCTCTTAAATCTATAGCTTCTTACTAAGGAAACCAAGTCTTAATAATCATGTAAAACATGTCTTACTCAGTGGGCTATCAAGTATACTACTGAATTTTTCCAGTCTGACACCTAGCTATTTAATTTTTCTTCCCCCCCCAAAAAAGCAAGAATATCGACCAAACAAAACAGCTTAAGATAGAGAGACCACAATTTATACATCCTCAAGATGAAATTGACCATGGCACTACAAGGGTAAAGAAACCAAACACACACATTTACATAAAGATGTAAAAATATTCATAGCATCCAAGGCAGGGAAAAAAAAAAAAGACAAAACAAACAAGAAAATCCTGGCACGACAGGACAAACCTAGTTTACAGTTCTCTTTGCGCATGTATAAAACTAAAGAAATGCACTGGGCAGCGAGGAAGGGAGGGTGGAGAGCAATTACTACTTAAACTTGTTTCATTCAGGAGCTAGGTAGCTAAGCAGCCTAGATAAAAGCTGGTTATACAAAATATAAGCAGGCTGAATGTCCCAAATCGGGAAGAACTAACACCAAGGGAAGCGGGACCCCCGAAGCTCTCAGACTACCCCTTCTCCAAATTCCCGAGCCACACTACTGGAGCTGGGGGCTTCCCGCGGACTCCATTTTCCCGCAGCGGTGTCTCCCTCTCAGACCGCGCAGAGTGGGCCTGTGGGTGAGCTGGGGTCCCCCACCCACCTTTGCTCCCCGCCCTTTTCATTGTTGTGCAAGTGTGATGGATCACCTGCCCGGCGCGGGCTCCCGCGTCCGGACGCGCTGCGCTCCGAGAGGCGCAGGGGCGAGCGGGGCGCGCCTCCCACAGGACCCGCGCCTGGCGCCCGCGACCCCCGGAGACCCGACCCCGGCCCGCTGCCAGTCCCCGCAGTGCTCACCGCCACGAAACCCGAGGAGGAGGCGATGAACACGCGGATCACCATCCTCTCGCACGCCGGGACGGACCGTCTGCCCCCGCGGGCTCGGGGCTGGCGGGGACGCGGAGGCAAAACTCGGCTAAGAGCTGACGGCGCCGCCGCCGCCGCCGCCGGGCAGAGCGCACGGGTCGAGGAAGATCGCGGGGACCTGACTCCCTCCCGCCCGTCCGCAGATAAAAGCCCAGAGCCTCCCGGCCTCTGGCCGAGGGAGGAGGGGGGAGGGGAGGAGGAGGAGGGAACAGGCTGCGGGGCGTGATGGGAGTTGTAGTTTCGTTGTCTGCATGGAGTGCTTAGTGGACTGAGCTCTTCCCAGCCCCTCCTTACTGCGTGACAACAGCTTACACGCGCAGGTGGTTGGAGGGGAGAGGCTGGGGAGACGCTGTGACAAGGGGTAGCGAGGATCCCTGCGAGACCGAGAAAAAGAAAACTAGGCAAGAGGGTTTGGTTCAGAGTCCAAGCTTGGGTTCTATGTTGTGGTTTACTGATTTGGAGCATCCCCACGCAGAAACGCCGACACACGGGATCGAGCCCCGGAGACCTGCGGTCTTGAGGCCGCTAGCGCGCGGGGCAAGCCCTAACCTGCGGCCGGCGGGTGGGGTGGGGCGGGGTGGGTGGGATGGAGCGGGCCGGCTCTCTAGAGGTGGCCGCGTTGGGGGCGGTGGGGCTGAGCGATCTTCTGTTTTCCCAGCTGCTCTGGAGATTGCAGAAAGGTGATTCTTTTAGTTAAATGAGACATCTTCTTCATCTGTAGACGCTGAAAATTAGAAGCCAGCTGAGAGCACAACCGATATTCTATTTTTCTTAGCAAAACTGTAATTGTAGTAGAAAAAATAAATTCCAAGCGAAATTAGAATCCTTCTATCAACATTGGGCATCAGGACCCCACCCGCCCCACCCCTACACTACACAATGGCTTCGCCTCTGTGCACCTAATATTTACAACTGAGCCAAATCTGTGCCTTTTTCAGACCCGATGCACATTTCCAAGCGCAGTCTCCCAGGAGGATGCTGTTGAATGAAAAGCTTTTATGTAGTTGCTAATAGTTTAGGAATAGTTATTTAGCAAGTGTTTTCTGTTTCACAAAAGCCCAAGCCTCTCACAGTTTGGTGGAAATGAACCAGTTTTCCCTGCAGTTACTGTATTTACTTTCTGCCTTTCAGCAGGGGAGTTTAGCAGAGTTCTGGGAACAATGTTAATTAATAGTTCTAGAAAGAAAGAAATTAGATAATGAAGTCTCTAGCTCTTTGGTACATTTCTTGCACAGAATGATACTAATAATTTTGGAGCATTTGCTTTTTAGAGCAATTTTTAATATTTCAAGTTTATAACCTTTCCTATTACCTTGTATCACTTCTGTAGTATTCCTTTTTAATTTAGTACATTAACAGAAGGTTCGATCCTAATGGGACTTTATTTCTTCTTATAAACAATAACTAAATATAACTTTTGCTGTAATTAATATCCCTCTACATATGCACTTTAATTTGGCTACCATACATGTGGAAATGAATATTTATAAAATTAATTCCTTAAAAGTAGATACTGTGTTTCCTATGTAACTGCCACTGTTAAAAGTCAACATTTTCTTCAGTTTGGAATTATTCAGCTGTGAATATATGGTTAAACTCAACAAATAGAAACTCAGAGCCTATTCTCTGAAAGGGACCACAGTGGATGAAAAGTTGAATAAGTCACTTCCTCAGTCAGCAGAGCACCTATTGTCTGCAAAACAAAAAGACAGGTACAGAAATAGCAACAGAACAAGACACACTGTACCAATAGGTTGTTGTGTGGATATAAAGGAAAGGGTGGCTTTTTAGAAGAGACTTTGAAGATGAGTAGAATATCTGCTAGCAGATAGGGGGAATGCGGGGTGAGAATGTGCAGAGTTTATGAGATCAACAAGGACTTGGTTGTGCTTCAGAAAGGGGTATGAGGGGACTAATAGGAACAATGTGGAAAATGTAGGTTTGAATGAATGCAGCAGGAGACTCTCCCTGGTTGTCTGCCCAACTCCTTGCTCTTTTATGAAATCTGTTCCTCAACTCTGATCTAAGAGGTTGTAGGGGTGGTGCCCCAAAGCCCTGTTCAAATAGCAAGACCCAGAGCTCAGTTAGCCACAGCTAATTTGTCTAGGGGTGGACACCTGACCCAAGCCTGGCCAGGCAACATCCCTACCCTAAGGATTTGGAATTAGCACTGGGAAAGAAAGAGAGAGCTTAAACTGTAACTTATGACATGGAAGCTGAGAGCTTTCAGAAGCCATGTTTCAACATGAGAACCAGAGAAGGTGAAGAAGCTAATCAGTAGGAAGGGAACAACAAAGCAGACATGTTTTGTCTGCTGTGATGGAGATGAGTTTCAGAGAATCCTGATAATATTTTTGTCCAGGGATCCTAAAATTATGACCTGTGTGGCAAATTGTGTGTTTTATGAATAAAGTTTTATTGGAACACATTTCTTTTCATATTGTCTATGGCGGAGTGACAGAAACCATATGGCCTGCAAAACCTAATACAATTACTATTTGGCCCTTTACAGAAAAATGTTTGCCAATCCTTGTTTATGGCTCAACCTGTTCCTACACCCCTACTTTTAAGGCCTGCATAATATCCCTGTATCCATATCATAAATTCTTCATCTTACTTAAGCCACCTCAAATAGGTTTCTGTTTTGTGCAATCACTGAGAAGTTTAAATTGAATTTATGAGCATTCCAAGGAAGAAAAGGATATGGTAAGAGCTATACTTTAAGATCACTCTGGTAATAGTTCTTTTTATTCCACACTGGTGAAAAAGTTTATCTCTAGAACTTGTATGCAGAACAAACTGTTAGCAGTCCAGGAACCCACAACAGCTATTGTGGAGTTGAGACCCAGAGTCAGTTAACAACATGGAAGAGTGGATGAGAGTAGAAAGCAATCTGGGATATAAATTAGAGGTCCAAGATCAATACCACAGGTTATAATACCACTGGGAGGATTAGGTGCCCATCTGACAGGTAAAGTCTGCAGATAAAGCAGGCAGCCAAAGCTTAAAGACAGAGCTCAGAAAACTGAGTAGGTCAATAGGCTTTAGGAAAGTTGCTCCTGCATTACCTAAGACTTGAGCCCCTTTATAAGTCACGATAGAACATCTGGCTGGCGTGTGTTTTTTTCTTTGCTTTATTGAGATATAATTGATATATAATGTTGTGTAAATAACCTATTTCATCCATCCCCCCCACCCACCTTCTTTCTGGTAACCATTAGTTTGTTCATAGTAGTTAAGGGTCTGTTTCTTGGCTTATCTCTCTTTTCTCCCCTTGCTCATTTGTTTTGTTTCTTAAATTCCACATATGAGTGGAATCATATGGTACTTGTCTTTGACTGACTTATTTCACTTAGCATTATACCCTCTAGCTCCATCTATGTTGTTACAAATGGCAAGAGTTCATTCTTTTTTATGGCTAAATAATATTCTGTTGTATATATACACCACATCTTCTTTATCCATTCATCTATTGATGGACACTTGGTCTGCTTCCATAATGTGGCTCTTGTAAATAATACTGCTATAAACATTTGAATTAGTGTTTTTATATTTTGGGGGTAAATATCCAGTAGCTCGATTACTGGATCATATGGTAGTGCTACTTTTAACATTTTGAGGAACCTCCAGACTGTTTTCCACGGTCGCTGCACCAGTTTTCATTCTCACCAATAGCGCAAGATGGGTCCTTTTTCTCCACATCCTCGCCAACATTTGTTATTTCTTATGTTTTGGATTTTAGCCGTTCTGATAGGTGTGAGTGAGCCACTATGATTGTGAAGTATAATGGGAAAAAATAAAATTTTAAAATATTTGCAACAGTTGGAAAATACTAAAATACCTATGATTTCTGTTGGTAACAAGGTCCCAGATGTCTGTTGCTATTACAGTGGCTTGTTGCCTACATTCATAATTGAAAGAGTTAGTAAATTTTTTAAAAGATTTATCTATCTATTTGAGAAAGAGAGAGAGAGAGAAAGGGCACTCAGGCACGTGGGGGTGGAGGGGACAGAGGGAGAGGAAGAAAGAATCTCAAGCAGACTCCCCACTGAGCACAGAGCCCAACACTGGGCTGGATGTCACGACCCTGAGATCATGACCTAAGCCGAAATCCAGAGTCAGATGCCTAACTGACTGAGCCACCCAGGCACCCTGGAATTAGTAAATTTCTGTTAGAATTTAATGAAAATATAAATATGTTAATTGTTTTCTCATTCAAATTCATGAACTCCCTAAATTCTATCCACAAGTCTCTTGGATACGGTGGGAGGGCATGTGTGCCCAAGAACCCCGGTTTAAGAAACCGTAGTGTCCGACTGTATCCAAATATGAAAGCCTATGAATTTGCCTAAAAGGAAAGTATAGAAAGAAACAAGAAGGAGCCATGAAGAGTCCCTTGGAGAACCCTTCCATTTTAAATTTGAAAGAGAACAAAGAATTAAAAGGAATGGAGGAGCCATCAGGAAAATACAAAACCAAAAGAGTACAGTATCACAGAACCCACGAGAAGAGTTCTAAGCTTTAGGAAGTAAGAGAATAGCAAGAACATTACTCAGCCTGGAAGTTAGGAAAGATAATAAAAATGGAGGCTTGGAGTTTGTTAGTTGGGCAGGCTGTGTTCACATTCCAGCTTTGCCACTTAATTTCTTGGACAAATTTTGTCACCTCTCTAAACCTCTGTTTTCAAGTCAATAAAGTGAGTATAAATAATGACTCTCATTCACGATTGTTATGAACAAGTGCTTAGGATATTCTCCACATTATGCCTGAGGGTATCTGTTTGAAGGATATTCCCACTCCAACTGGCTACAGAGGTTTGAACTGTATCTGTGTACTTCCCTCAGTGGGACCTATTGTAGCTTGAAAGCAATTTATGACATTTAAGACCAGGCTTGAAAATACGTGTTGGTCCTCCCTCAGGAATTCATAGTTGGAAAATCGAAAGACTAAGGCAATTAGCAATAGGAGCATAAAGGAGGATGCTGCAAGGAGGGTGGCATGGGGTTGAGAAGCTTTGAGCAAGTTAAGGAATGAGGGACCTGAAATGAAGGAAAAGAGGAAGTCTGTCTGTGATGGGAGAGTGGAGCCCCTGTGGAGTGAAAAGTAGAAACCCCAATGAAGAGGTTGGCGGCTGTCTTACTTACA